TGGCTGCCGGCGGCCGGGAGGCAGAGCGAGAACGTAGGCCACCTGGACGGCGGCGACGATCGGCAAGCGTGGTCGCCAAGCACGCGGACGGGATCGTTGACGAGGGCGTTGAATTGGCTCCCGAAGAGCGCCAGGAGGACGACGGGGTGGACGTAGCGGCCGGCCTGGCCAGCCGGCGTCTGCTGGATCAGAACGGGCTGCAGGGCGGTGGCGGCGGCGGTCGCCGTCGTGGGCTTGGTCGGCGCGGAGGCCATGGTCACGGGGTCTACCAATGGCATGGTGGTGGTTGTGGCGGAAGGCAGAGTTCCATGGACAGCGGTTTTGGGGTCGGCTGCTAGTGAGGCAGGGCAAGGCACACGATGACCAGAACTCGTCGCGCTTTCATCAGGGTCCTCGCGATGGTCACATGGTGATAGCGATAGCGATAAGGCAGCCCCTCCCTCCCTCGCCGAGACTGTGGCACAGGCGGCTCAGGTCCCGAGAATCAGCGACGAGAAAAATCTCCGGCGTACAGGTGACGGTGCACTACACGACGTGCGGGAGACGTCTCCGTCCGGGATGGCGCCGTTCCTGGTCCAAGAAGAGTTCTTTCATCAGGTGTACACACAAATCAATATCACTTGTCCAAGCAGTAGGTACGGTACTTGGGCACTTTATTTCTTACTTCTTACCTAATCCATAGCAGGCACCTAGGGAGGCTCGTCGGGATAATCAGGGGCCCCATCATTGGCTGGGAATGTGCAGTGGCGAGACTCCCATTCGCCGAGAATCCAGACGCCGAGGGCGGCCAATGGGGTGCGACTCGGCCGTCTCCGATCAGCCCATATGATGCCACCCTCACCACGAAAAGCGAACAAACCACACCACACGGAAGCTGACATCGTCAGGTCAATCGACGGCCCTCCCTGCCCTCTGCCTTTGCCTTGACTTATTGCGGCCAGCTCGTCCAGATGCGTGCCGCTGGGCTGGTGTCGCTGTCGTACGTTACGGCTACGTATGATACGGCGACAGCAGGTGGGTGGCATGATCTGAGCTATTCGTGCGCGCCGGTTTCCTGGCGACAACGGCAATGCCGCGGGCAAAGTTGTCCACCATCTGCCCATCTTGACTTTGCGGCCAGGGGAAGACGGCGCATTCAGGAACAGATCCCCAGATCCCGACCGCACCGGCGGTAGATCCCACATGCCGTGCTCGTGCTATAAGATATGCCGTAGACTGGTGTGTTTGTTTGAACAGTCTCTGCTCTCATCATCACCAACAACATCAACAGCTTCAGCTTCGACTCGAAACCAACAAACCAGCCTCTCCACTCAACCATTGCGTCTTGTTTTGACGACATCTCCACTCACAGTCAACTTCACGACGCCAAGTGCACACATCTTTGAGACCATCTCTCCTCACAAACACGCAACTCCACCATCCAAATAGTACCACCAAACCTCACCACCAAACATCACCATGTCTGCCTTCGTCGCCCGCTCTGCCCTCCGCGCCACCCAGCGCAGGCAGTTCTCCCTCCTCACCAACATGCGCAACATGGCCCGCACCTTTGAGCCTCATCCCTTCCAGAGGATGACGACCGCTCAAGCGGCGAAGCCCGACTACGCCAAGATGTTCAAGAACCGCGTCTTCAACGCCACCATGTACGTTCCCTTGCCCTCGTCTCGGGTCTCCTGACCACCTGGAAGCAGCCCGACTAACCAGTCTGCCAACAGCTATGTCCCCATGATGTGCGCCATGCTCGGCTGGCCCTACGCTGCCGCCGTGGTCGTGGACGGCCGCGTCTGAGCTAGCTCTGTCGCGATGAGCTTCGCGTTGTCAAAGACGCCGGGAAGAAGAGGCAAAGATATTCATCTTTTTACGATGGCCTGGGACGGCCAGGAACATGGCTGTTGATTTTGTTTCTTTTTGACACATGCAAAGCCACCGCTGGATACCACATTTGTACATACAGCAAAACATTCTGCATAGAAGAAGGCGTTTAGGGATGGGAGCAGTCGCTCGATCTGGGATTCCAGATCAATCAATCCATTTGAAAAGAAGAAGAGCACATGCACCTGATCATGATTCGGCAGTTGAGTTGTCGGACGCACGTAGAGGCGCCGTCGCCATTCGTAGAGAAAAGGGGCCGCTGAACCGTGCACAGCATTGTTTCCCCTTGGGGCTAGACCCCCAATTCGCGCCCCTGCAGCTTTCCCCAAGTGTCACCGCGTCGTGCCTGTCTGGAGCTCGCTCTCTTTGCAGTAAGTAATCTGAATGCCATTCCACCGACTTCGAACCCACCACAGACGACCGGCGTTGCCCTGCCTTGCTTGATCCCTCATCGTCACCATCAGCGAAGCGTGTCTCCTTTTGTCCACTTTCGAGTCATCTGCGTGGCGCCAACTTTGTGCTTTCCTCGACAAAGTCACACCACCCACCTCACCCGTTGTCGCTCACCACACCCCCCTCTCGTACCTACCTACCTTGG